AAAGGGGTATATGGGTTTAATTAAGGTAAGGGGAGATCTGGACCGTTGATCAAAATGATCAACGGCCAAGATAGGCCGGGTATTGGGTCGAGTAAGCTTAAATTGGGTTAGGGTCAGATGGGATTTAGGCCTGGTTAGATTTTGGGCTAATGTGGGATTAAAAATTGTACTGTCTAATTGGCTGGGTACAAATGAATGGGGCTATTTGTTAAATACATATTTAATCGCTAAAAGAGTTTTTAAAAATACTTAATACATTATAAAAATGATTTCCATGCCTGGAAATGTTTTAAAATAGTTACTTAATATTTTAAAAATATAAAAGGTTGTTTTCTGGTAAAATAATGTAATAATGCGTGCGTGGGCTATAATTGCAACCTAAAAATACAAAAGTGGCTATTTGTGCAATAATTGAAACTTAGTATAAATGTGAATGAGAAAATTAAGCCACAAAAAATTATTATAAAACTATTTGTGATGCAATCAATGATTGTTTTATAAATAAAATGTTGGGATAAATTAATAAAAATATTTTAAAAATACAGAAATTGTATGAAAAATACTACAATTGATGCCAAGGCATAGTTTTAAAACTATTATGGGGAAAAATTGGGTATCAACATCGGGTGGCTTGCTTCAGCGGTTAGATATCCCAGAGTAGAAGTGGAAGCGAATCATCATAGATTTTGTAGTCAGACTCCCACGGACTTTGAAGAAATTCGATGCTATTTGGGTGATTGTGGATCGGCTGACCAAGTCCGCGCACTTTATTCCTGTGTTCACTACCTATTCTTCAGAGCGGTTAGCAGATATTTATATCCAGGAGATTATTCGCTTGCATGGTGTCCCAGTTTCCATCATTTCAGATAGAGGTACTCAGTTTACATAGCAGTTTTGGAGAGCCGTGCAGTGAGAGTTGGGTACTCAGGTTGAGTTGAGCACAGTTTTTCACCCTCAGAAGGACGGGCAGTCCGAGCGTACTATTCAGATATTGGAGGACATATTGCGCACTTGTGTCATTGATTTTGGGGGTTCATGGGATCAGTTTCTACCACTCGTAGAGTTCACTTATAACAATAGTTATCTGTCGAGTATTCAGATGGCTCCATATGAGGCTTTATATGGGAGATGGTTTAGATATCCATTTGGTTGGTTTGAGCCGGGTGAGGCTAGGCTTTTGGGTACAGACATGGTACATGATGCTTTGGACAAAGTGAAGGTGATTCAGGAGCGGCTTCGTACAGCGCAGTCAAAACAAAAGAGTTATGCGGATAGGAAGGTTCGTGATGTGTCTTACATGGTTAGGGAGAAAGTTCTACTGAAGGTTTCACCCATGAAGGGAGTTATGAGATTTGGGAAGAAGGGTAAATTGAGTCCTCGGTTCATTGGGCCTTTTGAGGTGCTTTAGAGGATTAGGGAGGTGGCTTATGATCTTGCTTTACCACCTAGCTTGTCGAGTGTGCATCCGGTATTTCATGTTTTTATGCTCTGAAAGTATATTGGTGATCCGTCTCATGTTTTGGATTTCAGCACGGTGCAGTTAAACGGTGATTTGACCTATGATGTGGAGCCAGTGGCTATTTTGGAGCAGCAGGTCCAAAAGTTGAGATCAAAGGATATAGCTTCATAAAGTGCAGTGGGGAGGTCGGCCCGTGGAGGAGGCTACCTGGGAGACTGAGCGAGAGATGCGGAGCAGATATCCTTACTTGTTTGAGGCTTTAGGTATGTTTCTTGACTCGTTAAAGGACGAACGTTTATTTAAGAGGGGGAGGATGTAACGACCCAGCCGGTCGTTTCATGAGTTACCGCTCCATTTTGCCCATTTCTGCTTCTTTATTTGTTGTTCAGCTATATTTCATCGTATCACATTGGTTGGTTTGGGTTCAGAGTGGTTTTGTAGAGAAATGAGACACTTAGTCTCTTTTTTAGGAAACTTTAGTTGGAAAAGTCAACCGAAAGTTGACTTGTGAGTAAATGATCTCGGAACTTGGTTTTTATGATTCAGATAGCTTCGTGAGGTGATTTGGGACTTAGGAGCATGATCGGAATGTATTTTAGAGGTCCGTGGTAGATTTAGTCTTGAATTAGCAAAATTGGAGTTTTGGCGTTTTCCAGTTGGTAGTGAAAATTTTGATATCGGGGTCGGAATGGAGTTCTGGAAATTGGAGTAGGTCCGTTGTATCATTTTTGATGTGTGTGCAAAATTTCAGGTCATTCGAATGAGGTTTGATAGGTTTTTGGATCGGTTGTAGAATTTGGAAGTTTTAGAATCCTTAAGCTTGAATCCGAGGGTGATTTGGTGTTTTGATGTTGTTTTGAGTATTCCGAAGGTTGGAATAAGTTTGAATAGTGATATGTGACTTGTTCGTATTTTTGGATGAGGTGCCGGGGGCCTCGGGATGATTACGGATGGTTATCGGAATGTTTGGAAATTTGAGAAGGCAGTTGAAGCTGCTGATTCTGTCATAACCGCACCTGTGGAGTGGGGACCGCAGGTGCGAGACCGCAGAAGCGAAAGAAAGACCGCAGGTGCGGCCAAGGCTGAGAAGTGCAAGAACCGCAGGTGCAAAAGGTGGAGCGTACCTGCGAGACCGCAGAAGCGGTTCTGGGAGATTTAAGTGGAAGTTGCTGATGCGGTGGTCTGGACCGCAGAAGCGGTCCGCAGATACGAGCAAATTGGCCGCAGGTGCGAGATGCCTGGGCAGAAAGTATATAAGGTGGACTTCGCGAAATTTGGATTATCTTCCACCATTTCTATTCGGACTTGGAGCTTTTTGGAGGGTTTTGAAGAGGTAATCAAGGGGGTTTTCATTGAGGTAAGTTTATTGAACCTAAAACTCGATTCTATGATGATTTTCAGTTGTTTAAGCATGAAATTTGTGGAATTTAAGGGTTAAAATTGAAGATTAGGGCTTGAGTTTTGGAGAGCTTTGAGTGGTGATTTGAGGAGCCATTTTAGGTCCAATTTTGATGTTCTTGGTATGTATAGACTCGTGGAGGATAAGGATTCTAGTGATGTAATTTTTATCAAATTTCGAGATGTGGGTCCGGGGTCGGATTTGGTCAATTTCGGGATTTTTGAGTTAATTTGATAATTTTCGTATGGGTTTCATTCCTTTAGCGTATATTGATGATAATATAGTGATTTTGGTTAGATTCGGGGCATTTGGAGGCCAAATCGAGAGGCAAGTCGTCGCAGGCTAGAGTTTGGCTTGATTTGAGGTAAGTAGCGCTTCCAAACTTGGTTATGAGGGTTCGAAACCCCAAACTATGTGTTCTATGATTACTACTTAGGTGACACAAATACCAAGTGACGGACGTGTGGGCGTGTACCGTGAGAATCGCGGCCTAGATCATTCCATGACATCGCTTAGTGACTCTTTCTTGCTGATATATGTGCTCTAATTATGTGATTAAGTTAATAAGCTATAAATCATTTAATTATCATATTAAGGCTTCACGCCAATACTGTTGAGACCCGAGAGGTCGTTTCTTGCTGTCATATCATTAGCTTCATTGATATTCTGTACTAAGTCCTGTTCATGCATATTATATCATGCCTCAGTCTCGATTATTGTTATTTGACACATCATATCATTATTCAGGCTAGTATCATGATATTTTGATCCCGTGTGTGAGACTGGAGAGTGATGACTGAGTGAGGCCGAGTGCTTGATATTGAGTGATAGTATGAGATCGGGCTGCACGCCATAGCAAGATATTGATTATGCCTTCGTTGGCTTGTTATAGTGCTTGGGCTGAAAGGAGCCCCTCTGGAGTCTTTACACCCCTAGTGAGCGCAGTTGATGATATTGAGGGATGGATCTTCCCTGGACATGGATCTTTTCCGAAGTATTTATACCTGGAGATGGATCTTCTCCATAGGGCTGGAATGGCCTTCCTCGGTACTAGATAACTGCGGTCAGTGATGTATATATACTTCGGGATGGATCTTCCCTGGGCCGGATGACCATATACAGTACCGAGTGGTTGAGCACTTGTGAGTGGAGGTATACGGAATATTGATCATGATATCTGTGCATTGGTACATTGAGATTTTCCTGAGTTTCATACTCCATACTGTTCAGACTGCATTTATTTACTGTTGAGTTTTTACTTGAACTGCAAGCATGTCTACTTTTTTTCTGTACAGTAATTGTATTACTTGTTGAGGTTTGGTTCGTCACTACCTATCAGTCCATAGTTTGGACTTGTTACTTATTGAGTTGGTGTACTCACGTTACCCTCTGCACCTTGTGTGCAGATCCAGGCATCTCAGGGCACGGTAGCAGCTGTTGACTATTCCGGTCGCGGGCTTCATGGAGATAGCGAGGTAGCTGCTTGGCGATTCACAGTTCCGCTTTTCTCCTTCTCGATCTTCCTATTAGTACTTTGTTGCTATTTTCAGACTATTTGGTCTTGTCTTATTTCAGAACTATTGTAGCATGGCTCATGACTTAATGACACCCGAGGTCGGGCTTGTATTTTTTTTCCCGCTTTGTTGACTTTAACTTTATGTCCTTATCGGATTTCAGTTGAAAAATGGTTTTACTTAAGCTTTTAAATGAAATGTGGATTAAATTGGAAATGTGTCAGCTGGCCTAGTTTCACGATAGACGCCATCACAACCGGGGTAGTTTGGGGTCGTGACAAAAACATCAAGAAATACTAATAGCAAAAGACTAATATTTTTTCTCTCATTCTTTTAAGCGTTGTTCGAATTTTTCCAATTATTATTAATCCCGGTGGGAATATTCTGAAGCTTATGCTTGTCTCTTCTTCAATTATCCTTATTTAATTTATTTGTGGTTTCTTATCGGACCAATTTAATTCACGTGTCTATAAACCACATTACATATTCAACCGTACCGTTTTTCCAATAAACAGTAAGTTCAAATTGGTTCTCTATCACTTCGATTTCATTACGAATCAAAATCTAGTTTACATGGCTATTGAAATCCATACAAAATTAGTTATAATACAAGATTAAAAACAAAATATATCAACAATAGAAGGATTTACATATGGTGGTGTACACTGGTGAGAGCAATTACAAAAATACAGATGAGATATCTCTGAAAGCAGAACACAAAGAAAAGAAAAAGAAACAACAAAAATTTCACTGATAATAATAACTATATGTAGATATATATACTTGTTTAAATGAAGGTTTACATAATTTTTTGTAGTCTCCAAAGCTTGTGTTCTTGGGCAATGAACCACAAAAAATATTGCATCATAATTTTCACCACAAACAATAGTTTTCCAACTATGAACTCTTCATTTGCAAAGTTTGGAACATAGCATTTGAATCTCTATAGTGTTGTTGGGGTTTGACAAAATATAAGTCCCATTTTTATGATTAGATGTGCACGTCATGTTCATTTGGTTCCCTAGCTGGGTGGTCTGCAAAAAGAAAGTCACATAAATAAATTTTAAGAGGCTACCCAACTTAAAATTTAAAGAAAACGCAAAAAAAAAAGAAGGGAAAAATAAATAAATTTAAAGCAATTCTAAGATTTAAAAAAAAATAGTAGTAGAGAGATTTTACCGCACAACGTGCTTCAGTACAGGACCATAGAGGTGTTGGGACACAACTTAAGTAATGACACCAAGAGCAATGTGTGTTACCATCCCATCCACTTGTTAGAAGAATTAGACCAAGAATAAACCTACACAATAAATGTAACCATTAATATCACATTTTCGAAAACAAGAGAATATTATTCTCCGAGTTAACTTGTATATACACCGATAATTTAAAGAAAATTGTATTATCAGGTCATTCGAAAGATATTTATAAATAACCCTTCATAAAAGTAAAATTTATTATCTTAAAAATAAGGCAGGTTACTTGCTATAACAAATAAACGAACCTACATTGTACCAAGAAGTTAAAAACATTACTTACCCAGTTAAAAAAATTGCTAATGACATAATCAATAGTATGTATTGATAAATCTTGTACTTGGATTTTTTTGATGCCGCAAAATAGCCAGAAGGTGCTTTTTTCTTATCCACNTTGCTAATGACATAATCAATAGTATGTACTGATAAATCTTGTACTTGGACTTTTTTGATGCCGCAAAATAACCAGAAGGTGCTCTTTTTTTATCCATCCATCCAAATTGTGGACGAATCAAAAGGACACAACCAAGAAGAAATCCAGTTATAAATCCTCCAAGATGTGCAAAATTGTCCACATGAGGAAGAATTCCAACAGCTAGATTTATCGCAATTATGAGGAGCAAAGTAAGCAGTGTGGCCAACTGTTTTGACAAAAAACAAATTAATTAGTCCATTTGTTATAGGTACCAAAAGAAATGTGAAAGTTTGGCTAGCCAATTATACTAGAGTTAGAATTTTCTATATTGACCAGTTAAAAAAAATTACATTAGGAAAAAGGTCTAAATGCACCCATCTGCTATATAAAATATTAAAATTTACCATTCGGTGTATTTTTGGGTCATTCATACTACTACCATGTTGGCAAATCATCTTTTATTTGCTCTTGACTTAAATGGAGTTCCAGTGTGAATTGGATGAATTCCGTATATCGAAATATTTCGGAAAAAAGGGACTTTTAACTTTGCTTTAAATATCCTATGTATACTTCAGGTTGGAGTTTCGTTGAAATCAAGGGCAAACATGACATCATCTGTCAATGGCATCGGTACCAATAACTCGAAAGTATAACAGAGGATACAATGAAGATATTCTGTACAGTAAATGGATATCTTTAACCCTTTTACTCTTTACACTAATAAATGATAGCTACATGTAACCGTCCATATTAAGTAAGATTTATTAATAAGAAAAACAAGATAAATCACTTGCTACAAGATATTAAACTATAGGACTAGTGTATAAGCTAAATCCATTATTTAAAGAGTTTAAATCATACCTTGTTTTCATATAATGTCCAATTTGTGAGGAGTTCAGATAGCATAGCTCCAAGTAGACCAAACAATGCACCAGAAGCACCAACAGAGATTTTTTTCCTCACAAATAGAGCTGATAATAGACTCCCTCCAACCCCAGCCAAAACATAGAGTGGACCAATTCTCACTAGAAAAACAGATAGTAGAAGTTAGAAAGTAATTATGGCAGTACTATCAAAATAAAGTTTTAATTTATATACGCTAAATTTTTTTTTAAAAAAAATCTACATATTGTATCCAGTGGTGAAGTCAGAAATTTCAGTAAAAACATTCAAGAATATTCAAGATTTGTTATACTTGTATAAAAACAATATTTAATATATATAGACAACCTAATTTTTCAGTAAAAGGTGTCCAACTGACCACCCTTCGCTAGTTTTAGCTCTGATCCGCCTATGGTTGTAGCCGGTAACGAGCAATAAATTTCAAGTTAATTATTCATCTATTATGAATATTTAAGTTGATAATCTGGAAGTATAAAAATTCTTTTACGTACCAAATCCAAACTCTTGCTCAAGACGAATACCTACAAATAACAAGCTCAACATATTTGCAGCAACATGAAATACACCAGCATGTAACCACATGCAAGAAAGTAATCTCCATAATTGACGACCTTCAACCACTTTTTTCACGTCAAGAGCACCCAACTTTTGTAACCTATAAGAATAAATAATGAGCATGTCATTGAAACTTTACATTCTTCAAAAACCCTTGATCAAGTGAAAACGTTACATACAGTAGTGTACACATAATTTTGCGTAAACAACATCGACCCATTATATTAATTCGACCTGTTAATGAGTTTAAGCTTTGAACTTTACATTCTTCAAAAAGCCTTCATCAAGTGAAAAAGTTATTCGACGTAACTCGAAGAATATTTTATACACACAGAGTGATGTACACATGATTTTGTGTAAACGGTATCGATCTATTATACTAATTCGACCTGTAAATGAGATTAACTTTAGGACTATGTTGGTTCTAAGATTTTACTTTCTGTCTCAAATTGATGTTTACATTGCATTATTTTTCAAGAAGTGTCGGCATATTATATATATACATATTGTTTTTTTGGAAAAATATATTTAAATAAGTACATATAAGATATTCTTCTTTGCATGATACCCCTTTCTAAATGGTGTATTGGCAACATATATATTCTTGAAATTACGTTGCTTTACGTATAAAATACATATAATTCTGTCTTACAGAACTGTAATGATTTGTGAACGAGCTAATATATCAAAACAGATTATGATCAAGGAAATAAAATGCAGAAAGGGACTTACGTTGTTGTGGAGGGACCAAGTAAAGGGTTCTCATGGACATCTTGAAATGCATAACGACCAAAGATCTCGGTTCCAAAACAATTTTGACTATTACGAGGACAATCATTTACGTACATAACAAGAACAAAAAGACCGACATTGACAATAGCAACAATAGGTACTAGCCATGGAAACCATTTTGTATAGGGCTGATAATTAGGCGGCGGCCCCGGAGGACGAGAATATTGGTTAGAATAATGTGCAGGGTACCGATCACGTTCCTCTAGATTCGGACCGCTGTCCCGAGGTTGAACTTTGATCGTATCGAGGTCCGACTCCGGCGAAGAATTACTCGACGGAGTCCTCCTTCCCATAATGTTGCCTTGATCAAAGAACAAAACCGGGAGGAAAAAGGAGAGAAGAGATATGAGGGGTTATGAATTTTTATGTAAAAAAGTCCATTGGTTGATGTAGCACTAAATGAGGAAAAGCATTCCAATGAATTGCATGTTGTGAAACACAAGAGGAGAATACTAAGTTTTGTTTTTGGAGAGAGCCTATAGTTATAGAAAGAGAAATGAGATCAAGGAGGTTAATAATTTTACACAGGATGAGGGGTTAATTCTTGAGTTTTCTCAACCTATACTTATCATTAATTATGATTTGGCCCAATTTGATTTAATTATTATACTCAATATTATGAATTGGTTCAGTTTGGCTTACAACTTTAAGATTTTATGTTCAACAAGATATTTAACTGATCAATCAAAAACTAAAAGGGTAATTTTCAAAACTCACACTATAATATTGTACCTTTTTCAACGTAAATATCATTTGAATTGTGATTTGCGAACTTTTATCATTTCTGCAAGTTTCAGTGTATATAGATGAATAGTATATAGAATGGTTGCATGAATTATATTCTTACTCTAAAATTTAATGGCTCTGATGTAGCTATTTCTGAATGGTACAATGGTAATATTTCTGAAATGGTAATATTTCTGAAACACAATGGCTCTGATGTAGCTAATAAGCTATGGATTTAACCGAACATAGTATTTTCACCATAGGATATAGATATGTACGTAAAAAATATTACATAAAACTTTAACTAAGATTATATTTAGATTCCATAATATCAAATGTACTAAACTCGGTGCTAAACTTTTTATAAATTTTGCATCACACAACATTCTAAACAAGCCCATTTCAACAATAAGCTACAGATCTCTCTCTCTCAATCCCACTACTTCGTTTTCTCGTCCTTTGTCCCTCTCTACGGTTTTGAGGTTGTAGCTTGTACTTAAAACCTTCTTATCCTCTTCTCTTGTAGCGATTCATTACTGATTCGAAGAAAAATGAAAAAATACAATAAAACAGTAAAGAATTTAGATAAAGAAAAAAGGATTCATTTCATTCATGTCTCTAATTACAATGACTGAAATCCAAAATATGTAACAACCTACCTCAATAGTAGACAAGTGTAAAGAGTAAAAGACTAGAAAAATGATAAAAGGACTTAACTATATCCTATGCAACTTAAAGACTAATGCGTAAATAAAAAAAACTATGGGATTATATTGAGCTGGGTCAACTACAATAATGAATCAAGATTCATCAGCACATGTCGGACACGACACTCCACTTCCCTTAAAAAATTTTGATCAAGGATTAAAATCTGGAAATTGGCTTCTTAGAAATGAATACTCCTCCCAAGTTGCTTCTTCAGGAGGAAGATTTGCACACTGAACCAAAACCTCATCCACTGCCTTGTTCCTCTTCTTTACCATCTTACGATCCAAAATCTTCAAAGGCTCTGTCAAAATATGCCCATCGAAAGTGCAGTAAGGGGGGTCCTAGGTCACAAAAGTTCTTTCCCTAACTTTCTTTTTCAATTGTGAGACATGGAAGACGAGATGGATTTTTGATCCATCTGGTAGCTTGAGTTCATAAGCTACAGTCCCAATTTTTCGAATTATCTCATATGGCCCAAAGAATCGAGCAGAGAGCTTCAGATTTTTGCAAATTGCTACGAACAATTGATGATAAGGCTGTAATTTTAAGAATACCCAATCTCCCACTTGAAATTTTCGTTCTTTTCTTTTACCATCAGCATACAACTTCATCTGTGCTTGTGCTTTTGCGAGATTGTCCTGCAATATCTTGGACATTAACTGGTGCTCCCTAAATATTACCTCTATTGCTTCCAATTTAGATTGAGCTATCAAATCAAATGTGGGTTGTGGTGGATCATAACCGTACAAGGCTTTGAATGGAGTCATGCTTATTGCCGATTGGAAGTTGGAATTGTACCAAAATTCTGCTAGTTACAACCATCTGTTCCAATCTGAAGGTTTATGGCATGTCATATATTGAAGGTAGGTTTCCAAACATCGATATAATCTCTCTGATTGTCCATCGATTTGGGGGTGGTAAGTAGTGCCAGGGTTAAGCTGTACTTGTAATCCTTTGAATAATTCTTTCCAGAATTACTTACAAAGATTGGGTCTTTATCTGAAACAGTTGAACTAGGCATACCATGTAGCTTGCACACATTATCTAGAAACAACTAAGCAATTTGGTTCGCAGAGTAAGGATGAGTCGAGGCAAAGAAGTGCGCAAATTTAGTATACCTGTCGATCCCTACAAACACTGAGTCTTTCCTATTAGATTTAGGCAGCCCACTTATGAAGTCCATTGTAATATGTTCTCAAGCTCTTGATGGTATAGGCATAGGCTGTAGGAGCCCAGGATAAGCTACACTTTCTGCTTTGTTCTTTTGACAAGTCTCACATTCAGCAATTATTTCTTGACATCCTGCAATAGAGTAGGCCAATAAAATAGTGCCTTAATTCTCTGTTGAGTGCCACGTATGCTTGAGTGGCCACCCCAAGGTGTGGAATGCATATCATCAATCAATTTCTTTCTAAGAGAACCGTAGCTACCAACCCAAACTTTATCATTTTGTCTGAGAATCCCACTTTGCAGTTGCATCCCTTGAATTCCACTAGGATCAATGCTCAAGTGGGTGATAAATTTTTGGGCTATTGGGTTATTTTGGTAGTTGTCCATGACTTCTTCAATCCATTTGGGCAGAACTACTGTAATACCAGAACATTCCCTTTCCTCGAATCGCCTAGAAAGAGCATCAGCAACTACATTCTCGACAACCTTGTGATATTAAATTTCATAGCTAAGCCCAATCAACTTAGTAACCCCTTTATGCTGTAATGAAGTAGTGACTCTATGATCTTTTAAGAACTTAAGGCTGAAATGATCTGTTTTAATGATGAAATGGTTAGGTTGCAAGTAGTGATGCCACTTCTCCACAGCATGAAGTAGAGTAATTAATTCCTTCTCGTAGGTAGAAAGTCTCAAATGTCTAGGACTTAATGCTTGACTGATGAATGGGGATTACCATTTTGCATCAACACTTCCCCAATTCCTTTACCACTAGCATCCACTTCCACTACAAAAGCTGATGAAAAATCAGGTAAGGCTAACACAGGTGCCCTGGACATTGCTTGTTTTAGCTCCTCAAAAGCTTGAGTGGCTTCTATGGTCCAGTTGAATCCCCCCTTTTTAACAGATTGGTCAAAGGTTTGGTAATGATAGCAAAGTCTTTAGTAAATCTTCGATAATATCACGTTAGGCCAAGGAACCCCCGTAGCTCTTTTACAGTCTTGGGCCTCGACCAATTCAACATAGCTTCAACCCTATCACCATCAACGCTAACTCCTTCATTTGTGCTACATGACCTAAATATTCAACTTTATCTTGGCCAAAACTGCATTTTGATTTCTTCACAAACAATTGATTGGCTTTTAATAAGTCGAATACGAGTTGCAAGTGTTTAAGATGCTCCGGTAATGAAGCACTATACACTAAGATATTATCGAAAAACACTAACACAAATTGCCTTAGAAAGGTCCCAAAGATTTGACGCATGAGGGCTTGAAATGTTGTTGGCAAATTAGCCCATGGTGGGTGTGGAAAGTTGTCTTGTACTCATCTCCCTTCTTCATCTGAATTTGATGGTAACCCAACCTTAAATCTAACTTAGAATAAAATTGAGCCCCATGTAATTCATCTAATAAGTCTTCCACAACCAGTATATGATAATTATTTTTTACTGTAATATCATTTAATTTTTCTATAGCCCACACACATTCACCAACTCGAATCTTTCTTTTTCACTAAGAGAACTAGGGAGGCAAGAGGGGACACACTTTTGATTACAGTTTGGGCCTTGAGCATTTCGGCCACAATCTCTTCAATCACATTCTTTTGGTCAAAATAATAGCGATAAGGTCTTAAGTATCGGTTTGTCACCAAGCACAAGCTCAATCGCATGATCACATTCTCGACTGGGAGGTAATTGTCTTGGGATCCTGGAACAACTCATTATAGCGGCCCAATAATTTCTCCACTGGTGGAGGTATCATCTTCTTATCGTTACGAGCACAACCCATTAAGAACATTTGGTCCACAAAATTGCATTACCCTTTGTTCATTAGCTTGGATATCATTTTTGTGTCCATGTTAGACATCTTACCATCATCTAGACAACTCCATAAAGTAATATATTCCTTATTGTGAAAGAATGATATACTCAATGGGCGTGTATGTAATATTACTGGATATACGGTGTCAACCCAATTCATGCCCAACACCATGTCAAAACCACCTACTTTTAAAATCCCAAAGTTGAATTTAAATTTTCTATCGTGCATTTTTCATCCCAGATTACGACACTTTTGTTTGCTTAACAAATACTACCCATTGGCCACTTTAGCTTGCATGGGCCGGCCCAGCTGTTCCACGAAAATAGAGCTTGACTTTGCCAATTAAGGCTCAATAAAACTAATGGTTGACCCACTATCAATTAGCATTACCACTTGCTGACCTTTAACCCAACCCAAAATTTTAATAGTTGAAGGGGTTTTACTCCTTCCAAAAATCATATTTAGAGTAACCTCTGCTTGGTCAATGTCCTCAGCCTCAACTTTTTCTGGTTCTAGGACTTCCTCATGAGTATCTACAAATTCCTCAGCCTTTATGGTGTTTATGGCCTTGTTTTTACATTAGTGCCATGGGTGATATTTGTCATGGCATTTGTAACACAAATTCTTTTCTCGTATCATTTCCCATGTCATGTTCTTTTGGTTTGGGTTGCGGGTGTTTACAACAGTAGGGTTCTTTGGTGGAGGGTAGGAAGTGTTGGATTTGTAGGGTGATTTATTTATTCTAGGTGGAGGTTTGTGGGATAATTGCTTGTCCATTTGTTGGTAAGGTGCATTGAAGGAACTTTAATGTAATTTGGCACATGTATAAGCTTCTAACAATGTTTTGGGCCTGACAAATTGTACTAAGAGCATAATATCAAGCTTCAGCTCATCAAACCTTCACTTATAACTCTCAACATCAGTGGTTTGATCAAGGCGATTGAATTCTTTAACAATCTCAATGGGCATGTTATTGCCAAATCTTTCACAAATATCATTACAAAATTGAGCCCATAAACCTTGGTT